ATTGGAAGGTGCATGATTTGTGGAACGCGAAGCCATAACGATGAACTGCAATAACATTCATAGGCAACAGAGGTCGCAGTTGAGGGTTACATGAGAAGTGGACAACATAGGTCATAGTTGGTCACATCAGAAATAGTGGTGAGCTATAATAACATCCTTAAACCATAAAGGCATGATTTGGGAGCTACTCAAGTTGTGGACCACGTAGGTCATAATTGGTCATGTAGGTCATAGTGGTGAGCTGTAATAACACCCATATAATAGAGAACAAAGTGAGAGTTGCATGATTAGTGGATCACGTAGGACATGGTTAGTCTTGTAGTCTATAATGAAGAGTTGTGAAGAGACAACTTCCAGAGTTTGGACATATTATGAGTAAAATTCTTGTAAGTGGTTATTGTCGTGAGTTACACCACATTAATGTGCATAATTACACAAAATTTGAGGTGCAACCTTAACACCATTCAGGGTGCGTCGTCACATAGTACTTAGTGTCTCATTACACCATCTTCAGAATGTGTCTTTACACCTTTACTAGACTATGTCATTACATGATAGGATTTATAAATAACAATGAGTAGGGGCGACTAATAATGGTCGGCGAGCAATAGTCGGAGACTATAAGAGCATGAAATGTTCGTTAAATCTTTTGTCAAGAACACCATTAACATTTAACTCCTTTTCCTAGTCCAGCTTTAGTTCCCATTCCCTTTTATGAAGGGGGAAGGGCTCTATTTATAGAGTTTGAGTGTTGCATCCCTAATAAAAAAAAGAAAAAATACGGACAACTCTTTCAGACAGCCCAGAATGGTTCGCTTGATTGAATGACATTTCTATGGACATTTAAGTGTCTTAAATATGTCATAATTGAGTGACCATGGGCTCATTATATTTGTCACACAAAGAAGCTCAATTTGACTTCGTGTTTGTCAAGTTTTGAATTTATTTGATTTTCTAATTAGCAGCCCAAATCATTTTAAAGTGATTTAATGGTCTGATTTAACTCGAATCCGGTCAATTTTGATCATTTGGTTCGTATCATCGAACCAGCAATTTGAATGTAAGTTTGTTGAATCCAGATCTCTGAATGCTTACAATTTAAGTTTGAAAATTTCTTACTAAAAATTTATGGAGTTTCGTGCTAATTATTTCAAGCCTCGTGCCAAGAGGTAAAATTTTTTATTATGTATCAAGTATTTTTAAAATAACTATCTCCGATAAATATATTTCAATTCAAAATAAAGTATAAATAAATTTAAGTATAAAAATTAAAAATGAGCCTAAACAGCCACAGTTATTTCATTATTTTGGTAAAAATTCATTGGATAATGAAATGTTTTTTTTTTTCCCTCGTGCCATAGAAACCAAATGGCCCCGAATTATAGTCAAAAGCAACTTTGGAGTTCTATTACTTATACCCTATAACGCACGGAAAGTTTTCCCTAAAATGCTAGAAAGTTAAATAATAGTAGAACCCATAGCTTATTAATTTTAACTAAAATATAATTTAAAATAAAAATAAAGTATTATCAATGTTTCGGGTGGTTTGTATGTAATTATCCCTATGTATTTTGCTGGACTATTGAATGCTTCTAGTGATTAGAAGAGCAATTGCCTTAGTAAATCGAAAAAAGTTAACGAATAATTAGTCATTGTAAAAGCAAGAAGAAATGTTATTTGGAAGAAGAAAGCAAACTAAAAATAAATTTTATAGAACAAAATTAATTCCTTCAATATTCTTTCAACCTTACATATACACATCATCAGCGTAAAAAACCAACAAAGAAAAAAAAACAACCCTTGATATCCTAGCCTCATATTAATCAAAATGAATTTAAATATCATATTGTGAGATACCTATAATATAAACTTTAATTATGTTACCATGTATTACATTAATCTAAAAAATTTGAGACATTGTCACCCAAAATTTGATCAGCATACAATGATATTCCACAAGTTTAAAGCATTATGCTATAAATTTTGAAAAAGTTTAATCCTTACAGAGAGCTCATATCACTCCATATTTATGAGCCTCTTTTATATATATTAAAATAAGAGAATATACTTCCATTCAACTAATTATAAAAAAATAATAATAATCACTCCATATTTTGAATAATAATCTCTTTTCAAAAAAATATGCCCAAAAATAATATGTGCGATTCAAACATAACTTTCTAGACCTTAAATCATTATGCCACGAGTAAGTGCTCTTATATGCACCTCTTAATTATAAAAAAATAAACTCACCTACACAGACAAATAAACTATTGAATATTAGGAAATAGAACATGCCTATTAGATGTATTTTCAACTTTTTTTATATACATATCCAAATAATCCTTGCCTACTTTTAATTATCTTCAATAGATATGTCATATGACTCCAATCAACCATCAAATAATTCTTTAAATTATTTGAGTTTTATCATACAATCCTCTTGATATTCTTGACTCAATCATGCTCAACATAACTACCCATGACTTTCCCCAATGTAATAACATTGGTTATCTAATTAATTGTTTTATAAAATTTATTATTAAATCTCGAAGATATCATGATATTGCACAAAGTTGATGAAACAACATACATGCTCAAATGCGGCACATTAGTTGAAAATAAAATTAAAAATTCACAGATATCATGTTCAAACATTCATGTTGCAGAAGAACTAAATGTTTTTTTTCCCTAATTTAATCCATAACACCACCAAAAAGTACTATTGTTGTCAAATCTAGGTATATATGCTTTTTACATTGCCAAAAATCTTTTCTGTATGTATGTGTGTCTATTTACCCACACTACCACTGTCTCACTTATATTGGCCAACCATCACAAAGCTTTGAGAGCTTTAAATGCATTTGGAAGTCTACTTTGATTAGCCTGGGAGAGGTAGGAGACCAACTTTGATTAGTTGGAAACCACCCTCTCAAGGTTGGATAAAAGCTAATATTAACGGTAGTTGGTCTTCTAATGTTGCTGGGGTTTGTGGCTTGTTTCGTGATAATGCTGGGAGGTGCCTAGTTTTCTTTGCCTTGCCGGTTATTGCTTCATCCCCTCTTGAGGCTGAGGCCTGGGTTGTTCTCTTAGCTATGCAAGTTTCTGTTTCATTTCAGTTCAAAAATTTGGTGATGGGTCAGATTAAAAATGGTTGTTTAATATTTTAACTAGGAAGACAAAGCCTCTTTGGTACATCATTCGTGTGTTGAAACGTATAATAGCTATTATTGAAACTAATCATCTAATCATACATTATAGCTTCATTCATAGGGAAGGGAATGCTCCTGCAAATTGGTTATCTAAAAAGAGACTTGTTAATATATATTTATTGGTGATACACCTACTTTTCACACTCTCCTTCTCAGTGATTTACTGGATACCCCTTTTATTAGAAGCTAGCTTTATGTGCTTTTTTTTACATTGGTGCTGGTGGATCACTTTGAATCTATGTTTATCCTTTGGCATTATTATTTGGATGAATCTTTGTAGTCTGCTTATTTTGTATCACCAAATCTTTCTGGTGATTTTGTGGCCCTAGAATTGGGGTCCTGGCTAGAGCGGCTGCCTTAGGGATTTAAATGATGCCTCTCATGCATTTTTTTCCTATCTCTACTGCATTTTTTATTGGGATGCTGCTGTTTTGATCACTAATATTATCATTATGCACATGGCTGCAATGCATTTCAGTAGCAGCAATCTCGCACAGTTTACTGTGTTGTTTGTTGGCTGGTTGGTTTTTCTGCTCCCTGCCCTTTCTCTTCTGCAGGATAAATTTGACAGTTTTCTTTTTTCTTTACTGCTGGAGGATGCTATGTTTGTTGAACTGTTCTTACTCGTTTGCCACAGTGGTAATTTTGGTGCTTCACTCGGATGCTACACTAAGCTTGTTTGGTTCTGTTTCCTGTTGGAGGACTGCTGCTGCACAGATTGTTTGGTTCCATGTTTTGCCTCTTTCACGCATGATAAGGCTGCAAGTTTTTGTGAAGATTACTATGCTTTTGTGTTCTAAGGTCTTTCCTTGCAGTGATGTTCTGAACGGGATCTGTTACCTAACATTCATCTTCTCGTTTCTGGCTTTCTGCAAGCTCATTTGGATGCAGTATGGATTTATGGCTACTGATACATTTTTGCAAATGGCTCTCTCATGCTCTGCTTTGTGGACTGCTATGATCTCTCATATTACTCTCCTTGGATCTTTTTTGGTGTATACGTTTTTGTTTGGTATACTTGTATATGTTGGGATATACATTTTGTGTTTGGTATACTTCTTTTTCTCTTTTTTTGCCTTTGGGTGGAGTTGCATGTGAAAGAGGAACCCCCTTATGAGTGAGTATTGCATTTATTTTGGACTTTTAGTTTTGGGGATCCTCTCCCAACCCAACTTTTTGTACACGCCTTTTCTGATTAACATGTAGGAAGCCGAATAATGCTTTTTTATAATATATATCTATTTATATATATATATATATATATATCTTACTATTTATATATATATAAAGACATTACTTGAATACTAAGACTGAAGTAGGATAAAAACTAATAGTCAAGCGGCTGTAAATCTAAACTCCACTGTTTCAGCAGGCAAAGACCTGCGCAATAATTCAGTGACAATGCATGAGTTGCCACAAATCTAAACGGAATGCCTTTTTTTAAAAAAAGATTTACATAAGTACCATTCAATTCCTTACATATCTAACAATTAAACTTCGGTTTTTACATGCAAGAAATAATGGTGTTTTTTATGTGACATGAAAGATTTTTGTGGTATAACTGTAAAAAAGTAAAATTCAGGTGAGATACGTAAATACATAAGAATTTGGTGGCAAGTATGAAAATGCCCCTATTTTAAAAATATGAAGAAGACATTCTAATCAAAATACAATTATAAACTTATAAACGAAAAAACTGCAGTAACGGTATAAGATTCTTAAAAATTCAAAACAATTTTTCTCATGCATGTAAAATTCCAGTACATTAACAAGTATCAACGGCACAACTGAATTTCAACACCCATTACAAATATCAAATGCATGGGACCTTCTATACCATGATTAGTTCTAGTTCATGAAATTAGATGCAGAGAGATGTATAACGAGCACTGTTCATAAATTCTTCAAAAAACTGAAGCTTGAAGCCCAACAACTTGCAGCAAAACTATTATAGCGTTGAAGAGTAAAGAAGAGTAATTAATCCTGCTCAAGCTACTCATGAATATAAAGAGGATACCAGTAAGGATGCCGCCAATATTTCACCAAGAAAAAGATCAATCAATGTCTAAGCTGGAATAAGGTTCATATGCAACCTGGCAGACGAGAAAAAATTGCCAAATCAGTTTTGTTCAAATTTATTTGGGGCATTTACATGCATAACACCCAATTCTTATATATCTACATATCAAACACCTAAACTTTACTGTTTTACATTTATACTACAAGTCTTTGATATCACATGAAAAATGTCATTATTTTAACTATTAAAAAGCGATAAAATACATTTTTTTGAGAGTGGCAATTCACATTCTCATGCATAGGTAAGGTGGAATATATGTATCAATTAAAGTTAAGGTGTTAGATATGCAAATACATAAGAATTGAGCGGTATGTACTTGAAAATATTGAGTAAATTACAAGCGAGAGAAATATCTAACAAGATGAAAACAACCCATATAGAGAGGGAAGTTTCAACTATTAAGCCAATTAGGTTTTTACCGCATGTTAATGCACAACAAAAAGGTGCTCATTTATTGAATCCCATCATTGAAAGATGCTACTCACAGAGCAATCATCATGAACACGCCATATGGTTTCTCCAAGAAGGTTTGCAACTGAAAGCACCGTAAGCTGAGGAAAACCTTTCTTCTCCAAAACTGGAATTGTGTTTGTGATTATCACTTCCTGAAATAGGCCACTTGACAACCTCTCAATTGCTGGAGGGCTGTCATGCAAAATAAAAAATTAGAATAAGAGGCGAGAACATAAACCCGGAAAACATATTGAAGAATAAGATATTTCAATGAATAAATCAGACAAAAAACAAAAGTTTGTTTCTACAAAAGTTGATATGAGAGAAGTAAAAGATTCCGGGTATAAAATAGTGAAAGCTATTATAGAAACTCTTCCTAGAACCACCTCTCTCCCTGTAGCACGTATGTCCAATTCTTTGAACCCAATTTTGGGAATCTCGCTCCCAAAATTTATTTCGGGGGTTAAAAAGAATTTAGGAAAAAGTTATCAAAAAAAACTCTCTCACATTGGCTATTAACTTGAGAATCTTGTTACTCCGGTGCCTAAAGGGCAAATTTAGCAATTTAATATTTACTATTGTGCGGTATAAATAAAACTGATATATTTAGGGTTATTGTTATGATAGGAGATTGTTGTCTTGAATCATAGGTTTTAGGGTTTGGGAGATATCACCTACCTCTCGAATTATGTGTTTATTCTTTTTTGTATTCGGAGTTGTACTATTTTGATTTGCTTTCGGTGGAATAAAATATATAACTTCCTACCCTAATTTATGTGAAAAAGTTGCTTGATTCACACCTATTCGTAACAAATTGGTATCAGAGTATCTTGCCTTTCTCATCGCAAAGCCCTAATAGTGATTTCTTTGAAAAAATTATATAAGGGATAATGGCGACAACTTTTGTGACCCAGCCACATTCAATCACGATTCGAGTGTGGGGACGCCAACATCGAGATAGCAGCGTTTGATACCGTCTCTATTCGAGCTAGTTAAGTTGCGAACGTCAGGAATTCAGCATACAAGGCCAACGTCGGGAACGTAGCGTACAAGACCAATGTCAGAATCATGACGTGCGACAGAGTCGTGATTTGAGCTAGTGGAGACACCAAAGTCAAGATTACAGCGTACAAGGCCAATGACGGATCACAGTGTACATCATGACCACACCTTGCGAGACAATCACGCCTCCGTGACCGACTAGATAGAAAGAAACAGACAGAATCATGGCATACTATGAGACCTGTGAAGAGATTGACACAATCACATGGGATCGTAGCATACGGCACAATCGCGATTTGACATAGTTGGGAAGCCGAAAGACTAGATCGTGATGGACAAAGCCTTCGTTGGTGACCTAAGCTCGCGATACAGTTGTTATTGGAGATAGCAGGGAATACTGGATCGTATCATACAAATTCATCAAAATTCTAGCCAAAGTCTGATTCTTAGATACAGTTACAAACCAACATGATTTTTTTCAAGGAAGCTTATAGACAAATCATGACGTACAGGAGGAACCTCGCGACACAATCATGATCTGAAACAAAAACAGGATTAAAGAAGTCTTGAAACCATACAAAGAGAGTAATGGTGGACAAAGAAATAGATGAATTGGAGAAAAAGGTATAGAAAGAGTTGGGCCAAATCACATATGGAATGGAAAAGTGCATCTCAGCCATGAAGGGACGGTTCTCATCTATCGAGGGGAGATTCGCGATCCTGGAAGCAATGATGAAGAAGATCGTGAAACTTCATGCAAACCAGTTGCTGACTGCCACGAAATCCAACGACGACATTTGGAAGGGACGCAAGTGACAACACTCTGAAGGATTTGTTTGGAATCAGGATAGTGTTGTTTGCTTAGGCGGATCTATAATCGTGGGATCAAATGAAGAAATCAAGAATAGACTTGAGCGGAAGGACTTGGAAGGAATAACAAACATTTAGATGGTTGTAATGAAAGGAAGAGGTGGGATTCAATGAAGGAATTGAGAGTGGATTTGAGCGGCAACATCCGGAGAGAATTACACAACATAAAGAGGATTGGAAAGAGCGACAACAGGCGAAATGGGAAGATGTGTGATTTGAGTCTGAAGAAGATCGATTCAAAAGATGTCAGCACGAAAAAAGTAGTCATAGTGAGTGGGATCCTGACAGAGGCTTGCATCTAACTACGCCAATGTCATTTGTTATTGCAACCATCCGAGATGAAGGCAATTTAGGAGTAATGATGGAAATGAGATTGATGGAGAAGAATAGAGGAGAGTGTAAGAATGATTTTGATATTGCTGAGTATTCAAGAGAGAGATAAGATAATCATACTTCGCAGTAACCCTAGTCTGTGCAAGACTTCGATCAAAGCTAAAGACCAGGTGAGAGCAACTCAGGACGTAGAATTGGGATTCTGGATTGAGTTGTGCGCATGAAAGAGACACGTGAAACAAAGTTGACAGAGATTACAGAGATGGATGAGCTATTAAAGGAGTTATTTGGGGTTGCGGAACTTTTCAAGATTGACTTGGATAAGGCAAAAGGATATGCATAAGACTGCATTTCGAATTCATGGGGGTCACTACGACTTCTTGATTAAAGGTAAAGAATTGCCAGATAAGAATGTTACGTAGGAGCCAAGCAACTTGATCCAACAACACTTTTTTTCTGCCTTGAAGACAATGTGTCTTTTTAGGTGAGAAGTATTGTTACACCAATGCCTAAAAGACAAATGAGTAACTTATTATTTATTATTGTAAGTATAAATAAAGCTAATATGTTTAGAATTTGGGTTATGATAGAAGATGTTGTCATGAGTTTTAAGGCTGGGTTTACGGTTTAGTAGAGATCACCTACCTCTCGAATTTTAGGTTTTGGGGGAGATCGTCTATTTCTCAAATTGTAAGTGCTCATCCTTTTTTGTATGAGGAATTATATTGCTTTGATTTGCTTTTGGCAGAATAAAATTTATTACTTTTTGCCCTAATTTCTGTAAAAAACTTCTGGTTTATACCCATTCGTATCAAATTCCTATGCTCTCTTCCAATCAAAACAAGCAACAAATAAATAGTTAAACAATGTGATTTCCAAATCTAAGAAACATCACATCATAAACAATGTGATTTCCAAATCTAAGAAACAACACATCATTTAGCCTTCTTTTTATCTGAAGCATCACTGCACGTGTCATTTGAAGTAAAGGGACAAGAGTTACCTAAAAACAGCATGTGTACTGCAAGCGTAGACCTCGCTTGCACCCTCTTCATGCAATAAAGCTGCACCTTTTGCAATTGTGCCTGAAACGATCAATAACTCTTACAAAATAAACAAATGAAAACAGCGAAAGCTAGTCAATTATTGAGAAACTCTTAAATGTCTTAAAATAATAATAATAATAATAATAATAATAATAAAATAATTTCACATTTCTGTATCTGGAGACTAAAAAATGATTTTGAATAGATGACCGTAAAATGATTTCAATGGATGAGGCCCGTGAAAACATAAAATGATGTCAGAAAACATTTTTGAAAAAAAAAAAGGAACAGAAAACGGAAAAAAAATAATCAGCAGAAGTATTTGTAAAATAACGTAAGCTGCATACCCGCTGTATCAATCATATCATCCACCATAACAGCAACTTTGCCTCTTACATCTCCAATTAAATTCATCACCTGTATAGCATTAACACTTGTATGCCATTAGAAAGTAACAAAGAAGAGAAAGCAGGCCATTCTTTACGTGTTGAATTGAGCTGGTCCTTTTTTTTTTTATCCTTATGATAATTTATTAATTAAGTAGAATGACAGTCACATTTTTTTTTAAATCAAGCAAATAGAAATAAGAAAATTGGCCAAAAAACTGTAGCTCTTGCAATTGTTGACCTCATTTTTTGTGAGGTCTCTTACTCTTCTTAGAGCCTAGAATCCTGCCTTTAGGGTTTCCTACCGACACTATTGGAGAACTAGCCTGGGGCCCACACCGATTAGAAATTCGAGCTACTTCTTGACTCCTCGCAGTGTCATGAGACTGGTTCTAAAATCTTCAACGCTTAGTTTAGTCAATTAAAACAGCCGCCGATTGACCTTAAAGTAACTAAAGGAAGATCAATTGACAATTGACAATTGAGACTACTTTAGAGAAGTTAATAGCAGACATCAAGCAAATGGCCAAAGAAAGAGGAGATGAGCTGAGGTGTGAAGAAAATCTAACGGATTGGATGGAGGAAGATATTGTTGAAATAAATGTCGTCGAAACTAGGGCGTCGTCATCCTTGCGGGATGTCTCCGAACCAGCCGAAGGAGAGATGAAAGCGCTGCGAAGGGAGGTTCGGCAGAAAGATGAACAAGTCGAGCGTTTGGAAAGAAGGATGGAGGAAATGATGGTTGTAATCATGACGCTTCAGAGTCAACCCCAGCCCACAAAGGAGACACCTGCGAAAGTGAACCAACCAGAGGTTGTCCAGGTTGTCGATAATAAGAAAGAATTCGCTTCTGTTAACAAAGAGGAGCAACTAAAGAAAGATTCTGCTCAAATTCCAGTATCAGAGAAAGAAATCAAGCACATGATAGAACAACAGGTGAAAGAAGCCCTGACTCAGGCTAAAAGAGGAGCATCAATCCTGAAAGGTAGGCCTTATACTGAAGAGTTCGATGTCGTACAGCACCCCACGGGTTCCGTACCACCGCAGTTCAAGACTTTCGACGAGACAGGAAACTCTCGACAGCATGTTGCACACTTCTGAGCAAGTTGCTGCAACGCGAGGGGTAGTGACGCTTTGTTGTTCCACCAATTCGTTAGCAGTCTTTCGGGAGTCGCTTTCGATTGGTACGTCGAACTGCCAAATGGTTTCGTAAAGACATTTGCGGAATTAGAATACCTTTTCGTTAAGCGATTCGCCGGAGCCCAGCACCACATTGTCGACGGTAATCTCGTGGAGGAGAAACAAAAGCCAGATGAAACTCTAGTGGACTACATTCTACGATGGAGGAACTTAAGCATGAAGTGCAAACCACAGCTCCACGAGCAACATGCAATGGAGATCCTACTAAAAAGCATTCACAGCACGGTGGTGTTTCTTCTTAAGGGCCTTACCATTAAAAACTTTGAAAAGCTATTGAGCAAGGCCGCAAGTCTTCAAGAAGAGGCTAAGCAGCTTGGTTTTCTCAAGAAAACTGAAAAGCTGAAACCAATAAAGATCTTTGAGAAGAAGTCTGACATTGTTGCGGCAATAGACAAAGGTAAGCAGCCGATGCATATACAAGTTGAACAACCTCAGCAAGGTTAACAAACTTCTCAACAGAGCAACCAACAATCATTCCAGCAAGGATTCCGTCAGAAAGATGGGAGACGACCTCCGACCATAACGGAACGCTTGAACAGAGTATATCCTTTTAAAGATGAAGCAGTGAAAAAGATGTTCGGTAATTTGGTCAAGAGACCGGAATTTCAATTGCCTGCGCCAAAGAGACCTGAGGACGTGGATAAGAAAGATCATCCATTGTATTGTCCGTATCACAGGATGGTTGGACATACCATAGAGGGCTGTTTTACTTTCAAGAACTAGCTGGAGTTCAATCTCAAAGAGGGGAACATAACAATCCCAAAAAAGTATATTAAAAAGCCTGAAAAGGGTTCTATCAATATGATTTCGGTTGATTCTACCGTTCTGATTGATCCATGCACAACCGACGACGGATGGAGTGTGACGTGGACAAAGCTTTCAAAGAAAATATTAAAACAGATTCAAAATGCTCCAATACAAGCGGCAACTCAGAATCCAAGTCCCGCTAAATCCCCGCTATTAGTTGGAGTTGAGGAGCTACCTCGAAAAGAGATGGAGAAAGCGACAAAAGACAAGTGGATTGAAAAGCCTAGGGACAAACCAGGGGTTGTATTTCCTAGATTGGTTGTTTTGGATTTGGGGGAGAAATCCCTCGAACCGTTGACTCTATATGATTACTTCTTTTTCCCTTCGGGGTCATATAATGCAATTAATTTCGGTTTCGGCTACATTTTGATTGTTTCTAGTAGTAATACAATTGATAACAGTAAACATAGCTCAGGTTTTGATTTCGATTCTAATAACAATTCTCAAATCGTACAAAATCTCAGCGAGTTCGGCAACGATGAAGAAGAGGACGTCGACTACACGAGTTACAACAGTTCAGGAGGAGAGCCGATTGTTCTAGAATTTCAGGGTTCACCAATAGCAATCGATTTCGAGCCCTCAGACTAAGAAGAAATCCCCAAGGAGCTGTCGGCGTTTAAAAGGGGGAAGTTGCGTTTGGGGGTCGCCCGTAACAAGCTGTCGGCCGCCGGAATCGAAATCCCGTCGCCCGCTTCGGAAGGACTTTTTTTTTTACATATATATATATATAATTTTAGAAAAATATGAAATCAAACTGACCTCATATTTTCCATAGTTTAAATGAAAGAGCACTCAACCTCAAACCCTGTATCTACCCCGAGGGATAAACACAAGACTTGAGGGTGAGGCTCGATCAAATAAACTAAGAAAGATATGACATCCGTTTGGGTCTGCGAAACCGTTTTATTTGCCGACAAGTTCCCCTATTTAATACAAATAATTAAATAGGGTTTATTTTAAGCTGGGTTCGGAAAAGCTCCTTATAAGGGCAAGCCCCTATAGTTAATTACATCTTAAATGACCGAAGTCACCTAAGAAAACTCTCGATAAAAATCAGGGAATAATGTCTTCAAAGAGGTCAAAAGGATAGGACTTTACAACGAAATCAGACGAAGAGGTGTGAAAGGGGAAAGACTCAAATCTGGAACATTGTTAAGGAATCCAAATGAAGAGAAACTAGGGGAAGCCACAGATCCTGAGG